CTGGGGCGCCAGGTCCCTCCCGGGACTTCCCGGCCCAGCCGCCTCCTCAGAGCTCATCCCGGCGCCTGCCAAGCCGCCGCCTCCCGCAGGGACTCAAGTCCCACCCCATCTCCATCCTCCGCCCTCTCCCCGCCCTTCCCACCCCCAAATGGACCCGGCCCCGCCCCGCTGGAGGTGCAGGTGGTGGAAGACGACACCTGACGGGAAGGAGGCGGAGCGGTTAGCACCGCCCCGCGCCGCCATCGACTCCGCCCTCACGCTCTGTACCTGAGGGGCGCTTTTCCTCCACTTCCTGGCGCCTTAGCTCCACATCCTTTCCTCAAGCCCACAGTCCCTGTGCGCACGCGTACCTGGCTCGACGCTCCCTCTCGCAGGGACTACGAGGCCTGCGCGCGCACCCACGCACGTGGCGACGCGTCCGTTCACGTGCCAGCCCTAGCAGACGCCTAGGGAAGGCCTCCTCTTGGTCCATCCGCGCCGCGCAGGCGCACGCCGCACAGCGCCGAGTTTCCACAGGAGCGTCCGGTCTCCTAGTAACAGGGGCTAGCCCTTTTCCTTGGTAGCGGCACCTGGGTGGAATGCGCATGCGCATTCCGCAGCTTTCCCAAAGCTCTGGAACACCTGCAGCTTTGCTGCCAAGGCTTTGTACCACTTTCCCCATAGATCAGGCGCCGGTCTGGACCCAGTGAACTCCTTATCCCCCAGAGCTGCTCTTGGGTCCTGGGAGGTTGGCGCGATCTCCTGCCGCAGCCGAGTGTCAGGGAGCCTCCCAGGCCGGGTCCTGCCAGAGCACCCAGGGAGAGGGCCGGTCTGTTCTATGGGCGCCAGGGGCCTGCAGTCTGCGAGGGTCAGCTCTGGGTCAGGGTTGAATTGGGAAGTGGCAGCACTAGCAGTGAAAGCGTAGATTCCTGATTGGTATCCCTTCTCCACACGCCGGTCCCTTTCCAGAAAAACTGGTGGTTAACCAAAAAAAGGAAAGGGTACACTCCGCAATTGATATTTAAAGTTTTATCGACTGTTTTCCTGTCCAATTCTCTATTTTAGGGAACACTATTTTAACAACCAGGAATAATATTTTTGGCCATCCAACTATGTTAAAATTAACCCATTACCTAAAAGTAGAAAAGAGAGTTTTTAGTGAAAAAGAATGAGAACTGCATTTTATTCTGCTAAATTTTTGGAGCCTCACTTGAAATGTCAATGTAATATTTCTTAATGTTTAACATGCCCCACCTTTCTTAACCCAAGGGCTTCTCAACTTTATTGGTGGCTTTATCTCTCTCTTTCTCTCTCTCTCTCTCTCTCTCTCTCTCTCTCTCTCTTCACAGATGAAATAGATAACTAGGTTTTTAAAGCTGTTTTTTGATTATTTTGATTTAGTATTCGCATGAGCATTTCAAAAGTAATCTCACATGTGAAGAGACTAACAATTCCTGTTTTTGCCTGCTAAGTATTCCTTTTCCCCCCTCAAAATGTTATCGACAGACATAAACAAATTTTAAGTTAGAACAAATTCTTCATAGAAGTGCATTTAAATAAATATAAGTGCCATATGTTTTCCATTCTCTGCTCTAATTTTTTTTTCATCATTATGTGTGCTGTAACATTTTCTCATATTTTGTAGCATTTATTTTCAGGTATCCTATAGTTTGTAAGTATAGCTAGATACTAAAAACTTAAATTGAGTGTTGCTGCTATTTTAGATAAAGAAGTCAGAGGTCCTGTTATTGGGGAGCCACCTGTTACTGGTGGCTGTGGAGCTCTTGGGGTGCCATGGGAGTAAGAATTTCCTGAAGCCCCCATGGGAAAATGAGTTGTCATGGAAAGATTTCTAGATGATGTAATTTTAAGGGAGTTCCCTTTCAAGGTCCCATCTCCCTTCATCTCCCTATGGAAGAATTCCCATTTTTGTCTTCAGCAGGGTTAAGATCAAAGCCACTGCCCAGAGTCTCTGCTCCATATTCAAGTCCAGTCCAGCACATGGCAGGCTAGCGTGGGTCACAGAGCAAGTGAGTGCAAGGAAGCAGGAACAAAGCAAGAGAAACAAGAACGGGAGAACTCTCTGTCTCAGGGTTATAACTAGGAGCTTAACAGGGAACCCTGCAGGATTTCACACATTTGCATTGGCTCCACCCCCTAGCCAAGATCTTTGTTCTGCAGGCTAGGCTAACAGCAAGCACCTTCCCTAGTCACCCCAACTGCACTTCACTGCGCATGTGCCCATCATCCCCTGCCCCCCAGTGATCTGCAGGGAATGGACCAGTGGTTCCCTCTGAGTGTAAAATTGCAGCTTCCTGGTGAAGCTGCCTAGATGACCATGCTTACAATGTCTGGCCTTCCTTTTGCTCCTTATTATTGATATTAACTAGCTAGTTACAACAGTAATAGTCCCAAGAAATATATGTCCTCTGAAATATAATTATACCTAATTGATAGGTTACAAAGAAGCATGAGCTCTCAAAGACCAACCTAAAAAGTTATTTTAGGGAGAACAATATATAATCTTATTTTCTCTTCAGATTCTAAGATTATTTTGAATAAAATGGTATTATCTAGCATTATTGAAAAGAAATAGGGAAAAATGTATGAACCTCAAAGCTCTCAGAGTTGCAGATCTGGGGGGATGAGGGGATTTTTAATATAAGAGGTAGAAAGGTACTTGCCTTAGGGAAAACAACTAAGCATTTATGTACCCTGCCTAGATGTTGCTGAAAAGTCTTTGGAAATAATGTAGAGAAAAATGTCATTTTATTGCTAAAGCAGTGCATAAAGATTTCACTTTTTCTTTTCTGATTGATTGCCTCTCCCAGCCCAAGAAAATGAAACATTTCTTCCCTCAATGAAAATCCAAAGAGTGGTCAGTGCTCAATCCTGCCCCAAGTAACCCTTTCATAGTACCTCTGCGCTCTCCCTTGTGACACACTCCTACGCAATTCTAAGGTCTGGGTTTTCTATTCCCTTAGTTTCTCCATCATTTCACAAGCTTCACTACAAAAAAAAAAAAACAAACCCATTTCTATTTTGCCTTTATTCCTGAATACTTCCCTGGTCCCCTCTGGGGCTTCAGTTGCACATATATTTAGCTGCTTGATGCTCTGTTTATTTTTTTTCACGGTATAGTTTCTATATATCTTTAAGTTCACTGTCCTTTTCTTTGATGGTGTCAATCTCATCCACAATGGGATTTTTACAGGTCAGGACTGTATTTCTAATTTCTGGAAGTTTAACTTTTTAATATGTTCCATCCTTACCCCATCATGTTCAAGCTTTGCTCTACCTTCTTGGAAATATGGAATATATATTAAAATAGCTGTTAAGTTCAGTGCATACTAATTTTATCACTTGTGTCATTTCTAGATATGTTTCTATTCCCATCAACTGACTTTTTTCTCCTATTTATGGGTCATATTTTTATGCTTGTTTCCATAGCTCATAGTTTTTATTGGCTACCAGACATTGCAGATTTTACACTGTTACATGCTGGAGGTTTTTGTTTTTCTTTAAATATATTTAGACTTTGTTCTGAGATGCAGTAAGTTTACTTGGAAATATTTTGATCCTTTAGAGCTTCCCTGTTGAAAATAGTAACCACTAAATACATATGTCTATTTGGATTTATGTTAATAAAATTAAGTAAAATTTAAATTTCAGTTCCTCATTTGTACTATACACATTTCAAATGTACACACATGGCTATTGTCCAATATAGTATTGTCCAATATAGTATTGGACAATATAGTATAGTATTGTCCAATATAGGATTGGACAATACTTGAAGAAAGTTATGTTGGTCAGAGCTGCTTTAGAAGCTTGCTTTTAAGCTTTGTCAGGTCCAAAACAGTCTTTATTTAGGGCTAATTTGGCCCCATTACCGAGCCAAGATCTTTGTGAGGACTCTATTCAGTGCTCCATGTATTAGGAGCTCTTTCCATTCTGGCTGGTGGGAATGCTATTCTTGGCTGTGTGTCTGCCTTCCCCTTTTGCTGGTTCTTTTCCAGGTCACAATAGTTTCCTTTCACCTAGGCACTGATCAGTACTCAGCCAAAGGATTGTGGGGAATCCGCTGCAGCTCTCTGGAGCTTTCCCTCACTGTTCCTCTCCTCTCTCCAAATTCTAGCCACTTTGGTCTCCACAAACTCTGAACTCCACCTTCCAAACTCCTTCAAATAACTGACTCAATTTGGGTTCCCCCTCCTTGCTCACTGCCTGGGAAACTCCAGGGCTCACCTTGTTAATTCCCTTTCTGTTGAGAATTACTCCCCTGCACTGCCTATTGTCCAGTATTTTAAAACCATGCTTTCATGTGTTTTGTCTTTTTTTTTTTTTTTAGCATGTTCAGGGCATGAGGATAAATCTGGTCCCTGTCTCTGTGTCATGGCTGAAAGCAGAAGTCAGCTGGCTCTTAGTCTCAGGCCCCATCTCACCAATCATCCCCAACAGAAATGCTTTGTGATTCAAAACCTGCTTCAGGCTGAGGGCACTGGAAGTGCACAGGCCCTGACACAGCAGAGGGTTTGGCATGGCATGTGCTTGAGGAACAGCAATGAGGTCATGGGGTGGACGAAGAGGGAGTGAGAGACAGGAGTCTGAGATGGCAGCTTTTTATTTTGTATATCTGTTTCCTACTGCTGCTGCAACAACTTAACACAAATTTGGTGGCTTTAAGCAACACACATCTATTACCTTACAGTTCTGGAGGTTAGAAGTCCAAAATGCATCTCACTGGTCTAAAAAAAAAGGGCAGCAGCACGCATTCCTTCCGGAGGCTCTCGGGAGCGTCCCTTTTCTTGCCTTTCCAGCTTCTACAGGCTGCCCACTGTGTTTGGCTTAGGGCTCCCTCCTATGTTCAAAGCCAGCAATGGCTTGTCACGTGGTTCCCACATTGCATCACAGTGACATTCCTGCCTCTTTCACTCATGAGGACTCTTGCGATTACATTGGTAACCACCAATTTCCGGTATCATCTCCCTACCTCAAGGTCAGTTCATTAGCAACTTTAATTCCATCTGCAATCTTAGACGTCTTTGGAGGCCATTATTCTGCCTATGCTGAAGATATGATATGTAGAGAATTTGGCTTTTACTCTGAAATACAAAATTATTCCAGCAT